AGTAATAAGATAAGAAATATAAAAGAAAGGCCTACAGTGAGAAGTTTTAACTATAGTCAATCCAGAGTTTCAGAAGAAGGTAATAGAATGGAGGAAAGGCAATATCCACAAAGACACTGAAAATTTTCCCAAACTATAGAAAGACTCAAATTCTCAGATACAGGAAACCCAAAGAAATCTCAAACCAGATAAATAAAAAGCAATTTTTATTTAGACACATTGATGTGAAGGGACAAAGAGAAGCTTATAAAAGAATCCAGGAGAAAAAGAAGGATTATACTAAAATTAGATTAGCAGGTAGCTTCTCAATAGCATCAATGAAATCTAGAAAGCATCTTCAAAGTACTAAGAGAAAATCACCATGAATTTAGAACTGTATGCTCACAGAAACTATCTTTTAAGATGAGAGCAAAATAAATAAAATTTCAAACAAATAAGACCCAAAAATGTTCATTACAAGCTCTCTGCATAGCCTAAAAATAACATGTAATGTCTAATTAAAGAGTAATTTATACATTGTCCTGAATGAACATATATTATGTCAATAATCAGAAAACATAACTATCAGTCATACATGTAGCACTATGAGTAAGACAAAGGTACTCCCCCATTTGAAATGTCTATGACCAGTGCCTAGCACAGGGTCTGGTACAGGGGAGACACTCAACAAATATTTGCTGACTGACTGAATATTTGACCTAATTTATTGTTTTTCCATTCATTTGACTCTTCCCATTTGGGCATTTATATGAGCATGTCATTTTCAAAGCCACCAAACCTATCAAGGTTCCATTGATTATCTTCTAATGACCAAATTGGCTTATCTCGGGTTGGAGAACTAATAAGAACTATTTTAAATAAACCCAGTGTCAGTTTATGTTGGAAGATAGTTGCTAGTAATGCAGTGGGGAAGAGAGAGATTTCAAATCCCACCCCATAAGTAACAGTGCACATCCAATTCCGCGGGGTCTGTAAAGATCTGTGGAAGTACAGTATGGGGAGATCTGCTTTGCTGGGGGAACAGGAGAGGTGATTTTTAACTACATTCTGGCATAAGCTCAAACAAGGCTGTAAAGAGCAATGAATCACGTGGTGGAAAAGCACTGCTTGGTGATCAGGCGACCTGGGATCTAGCTCCAGCTGTCTGTGCATCCAAGCTGAACACTTTGACACTGAGTCTTAATTTCCCGTTTCTGAACCATGCGTCTTGAAGTAGGTGACCTCAAGGGGGTTTGACACATTTGTGATTCAATAATATTTCACTACAGGAGTGATTTTTGTAATAGCTTTATTATCCCTGTTAAGAAAACAGCGACAGCAGTATCTTTAACTGTGTTTTCAGAAATACCATCACCGAGGCTGCTTGACTCTCATCGTGGTCTGAGTCCACCATCAGTGCTGACTCAGCCTTGACACACAGTAGACACTAGGGTCCATGGTACTTTTAGGGCCCATGAAAATGTTTTAATTTCTTTTAAAATCAGAAGGGAAAAAGGAGCATAATAATGATGAATATGGAATAATGCAGTTTTGATTATATTTGTCTTTATACCAACTCAGTTATAAAATACAATTTTCAGTTTTTGTTTTAATGAAAGAAAGGGTCCACAAGTCATAGTGCTGTCCTCTCCACTATAGGTCCTGACGTACAGGAATTTATAAAACTTCTGGTTGATAAAAACTAGGAGAGACTATAAGGGTCTCTATCTTCTAGGTCCAGTAGTTGGTACTTGCTGGTCACATTTAAAGCAAAGCTACATTTTAAGAGTTAAACTAGTAAATCAACATAACGAATGAGACCAATAATTTAGAAAAACTACTTAAAATACAGGAAGCCTCCAGGAAGAGCAAAGTTGGGGTATCTGTGATAGCAACTATAACCATTATTGAGCATCTATAGTGTACCAGGTGTACCAAGCTTCTTATGTGCACTGTCATTTAATCCTCACAATAACCTTTTTAAAAAATTTTTTTAATGCAGTAACATTGGATTTTAACAATATATAGCTTTCAGATGTACATTGTAATATATTTCAGATTCTGTGTAGATTGCATCATGTTCACCACCCAGAAACTAATTATAGTCCATCCCCTCACATGTGAGCCTAATTACCCCTCTTGCCCTCCCCGCCCCTTCCCCTCTGGTAACCACCAATCCAATCTCCATTGCTATGTGTTGTTTGTGGTTGTTTTTATCTTCTACTTATGAGTGAGATCATACGGTATTCCCTTGTGGTTTGATGGCTTTCTTTAGTGATATGTTTGATTTCTTTTGTCTTACTTTTTTGCTTACTTATTATAGGTTTCTGATTTGTGATTACCATGAGGATCCTATATAATAGTCTGTGTATATAATCGTCTATATTGAGTTGATAGACTCTTTAGCTTGAACTCTTTCTGAAAGCTCTACTTTTTCACTCCCCTCCTCCCACATTTTATGTTTTTGAAATCATATACAGTCTCTTCTTCAGTGTGACTATCCATTACCCTCTTATCATTGAAATAGGTGATTTTAGTACATTTGTCTTTTAACCTTCGTATTATTTCACAGGTAGTTGATCTGCTTCCTTTACTATGTGTTTACCTTTACAAGTGATTTTATTGCATGGTTTTTTGTTGTTGTTGATTTGTTTTTTTGATAATTTTTTTAAATCTCTACTTGTGGTCATTGCTTTCCCACTTAAATAAGTCCCATCAGCATTTCTTGCAGAACTGGTTTCTTGGTGATAAACTCCTTTAATTTTTGCTTGTCTGGGAAGCTCTTTATCTCTCCTTCCATTCTGAATGACAACCTTGACGGATAGAGTATTCTTGGCTGTAGTTTTTTTCCTTTTAGCACTTTAAATACATCGTGCCATTCTCTTCTTGCCTGGATGGTTTCAGCTGAGAAGTCTGCTGATAGCCTTATGGGCTTCCCTTTGTATGTCACTTGTGGCCTTTCTCTTGCTGCTTTTAGGATTCTCTCTGTCTTTAATTTTGGACATTTTAATTATAATGTGTCTTGGTGTGGGCCTCTTTGGGCTTATCTTGTTTGGAGCTCTCTGTGCTTCCTGTACTTCGATGTCTGTTTGCATCCTTAGGTTAGGAAAGTTTTCATCTATTATTTCTTCAAATAAATTTTCTGCCCCTTTGTCTCCCTCTTCTCCTTCTGGGACACCTATAATCTGAATGTTGGTGTGCTTGATGTTGTCCCGGAGTTCCCTTAGACTGTTCTCATTCTGTCTAATTCTTTTTTCTCTTTTCTGTTCTGCTTGGGTGATTTCCTCTAGTCTTTCGTCTAGCTTGCTGATCTGTTCCTCTGCATCCTCTACTCTGCTATTGAGTCCCTCTAGTGAATTTTTCATTTCCAGCATTGTATTGTTCATTTCTGGTTGGTTGTTTTTTATATTTTCTGGTTCTTTGCTGATGAGCTCACTGTGTTCATCCAGTCTTCTCCCAATATCTGTGAGCATCCTTATGAAATTTTGTTTGAACTCTTTGTCAAGGAAGTTGCTTATTTCTGTTTCATTTAGTCCTTTTTCTGGGATTTTATCCTGTTCCCTTGCTTGGAATGTATTCCTTTGTCTCCTCATTATGCCTCTTTCTCTGTGCTTATTTCTATGTATTAGGTGAGCCGGCTATGTCTGCTGATCTTGGAGAAGTGGCCTTATGTATAAGATGCCTTATGAGGCCCAGCAGTGTGCTTCCCTCTCGTCACCAGTCCAATGATCCAGGAGTGACCCCTTTGTGGGTTACTTGTGTCCTTCTGCTGTGGCAGGGTTGCTCCCACTGCAGGTACCCAGGGAGTCTAATCTTTCCTTCCCTGGCCAGCTGTTTGTAAATCCGGTTTGGGGAGCCTCAGCACCATTGGCTACAAAGTCTATCAGCACACTCCTGTTGCAGTTTTCCTCTTAATTGGGTTGGTACCCAGAGTAGCTGGTTGCTAGGCTCAGGGGTTTACAGTTGCCATAGGCCTCAGACGTACAAGGCTATTGTCAGTTCTCTTAGGAGTGCAGCTGAGTGGGGCTGGCCCTAGGCATGGGGGCACTCAATTGTTTCAGGCTTTGGAAGGTGGGGCTGATCCTTTTTATGGCTATTTGTGAAGCACAGGTCTTCTGCTGCTGATAAGCCTCACCCCCCCACAGGACCACACACACTGTCAACACAGTCCTGGTCCTTGCACACTTCCCAATCCCCTGGAGCATACCCTGACACCCAACTGCAGAGACCCCCTCCTTTCCCCCAGTGCCCCCCACAGTTCACCTGGTCCTCACACAGGCCCTGCCCCACAGAGGCGGACACCCTTGCCTGCCTGTAGAGGATCAAGACACCCAGTAAATGCAGGCCGAAAACTAGCCTGAGGGCTTGCTGTTGGGTGGGGCCAGTCTCTAGGGCAGGCTGCCTGCCCTGGCTGAACTGGATTAAATCTGTGCTCTAGTGGGTGTGACAGACCCCTGGGCTAACAGGCCAAGGGAAGAACCTCAGTGGCGCCCCCTGGGGTCTGTGTCAGCATGCCTGGACCAGCTCAGAACAATGGCCCCCACCAATGTCTCAGTCTCTGGAGAGGTCCCTCCTCTCACCAAGATGGCCCCAGAGACCACCTGGTGAGTCTCGTTTCACCAAAGGACTGTCAGCCTTCACTCTGGTGATTTTAGGTTGCTGCAATGAGTGAGTTTGTGCGTGGGCCCTTTAAGACCCAGGTCTTTTCGGCTTTCAGCCGATAGCTTTTCTGGGGGTGTCCTCGCTGCAGTTAATAGCCAGCAAAGCCAGACAGTAAGACCCCCGTCTCAGTTGGGCTGCGTCTGCAGGATGCTTAGAGAACTATCGGGCCCACTCCGGACCTCCCTCCTCCAAGGAGGGCTGCGGACCTTAGGGTGTCTCCCGCGTGGCCAGCTGAGAAGCTCTGCTGCTCCCAAAGGTGGCTTTTTTCCTCTCCAGCAGGAATTTCTACCTCTTCTGCCTTCGTCAGGACTGTCCCTTGTTGTGGGGGTTCTTTTTGTCCAGTTTTCAGTTTTCTATCTGGGGTAATTGTTCCAAAAATAGTTGTAACCTGGTTGTGTTCATGGGAGGAGGTGAGTTCAGAGTCTGCTCACACCGCCACCTTGACGAGATCTCCTGTCCTCACAATAACCTTATAAAGTGAGTATTATTATTTGAACCTCATTTTATAGAGGAAGAAACTGAGACTTAGAGAAATTAGGTTAATTTACTGAATGTCACACATTTGGTAAGTGGCAGAAATAGAGTTTGAACATGGAATTTGGGGCGAACGCAATAATGCCCCAAAAAGCCGCTCCTCTTGCGAAGGGCACTGAAGCCCTGCGGTGCTAACGCAGAGCCCAGCACAGGCAGAGTGGGTCTGCGCAGAGCACAGGGAAGACGACCTCCCAGGGTGGGTGCCAGATGGATGAGATCTCGACGTGACAGGTAAAACTCAAAGGCTAATGGAAGAAAATTGCATTTATTTTATGACCAAGTATTAGATTAAAACCTCTTGGGACACAAACCAGTGGAACTCTGTAACTGCAAACCTTTCTCAGGTAAGTAATTGTCAACAGGCCTTTCAGGAGGAACTCTTGAAATGTTTTTAAAATTAATAACAGATTGACAAAGTTGTAGAAAGACAACTGGTGAAAATTTAACCTTCCTAAAATCTAAGTTTTCAATGGCTATGAATCAAGAGAATGAAAAATTTTGAACTTAGTTATAAGGAATGTAAAGAAATGACCATTCCAGCAGACTGATGAGAATCATAAAAGAGAGGCTCAGCAGACGAGGTGATAGCAGGCCTGAAGTAGAGAAGAGAAACCCAAAACTTCCTTTAGCCGCACGGCTAGTGGCTCCAGGGATGCCTAGTGAAATAACGTTGGAAGTTATTACAAATACCGCAGCACACAGCGCTCATAGTTTGCAGCAAAGAACTGTGCCCAAGCTAATTTAGAGGAGTGTGTTTACAGTTCTTATTCCAGATGGCCTTCATTAAGTTATTCTCGATGACTCCTTTTGTGATCGTTATTAAGCGTTGAGTTAATGAGCTTCTCTGGTTTTAATGTCTATATCCAATTGATCTCAGTTGGTGTATTAACCATGCCTTTTATTTTCTGATGCTTTGACATCTTGGGACCTTGCTGCCCCTGGAGGGAGGGACTACCTGGATAGCAAACGACTCGCCTGTGAGTGCCTTTCATCTGCAAGCCAGCCATAGAGAGCCCAAAGTCCTCAAGCACCCCCTCTGTGGACTCTCACGTTCTGGGCCCCCACACACCCATGCGCATCACCACGGGGCCAGGTACCAGACGACAAGGTATGGATCCTATGCCCCAAGCCTGCTGACATTATTCAGACTAGTCAATCCTAAACCTGTCTACACTGCCTCACCAGTTCCTTCCCATGAAAACCGCAATAAATGCTCTTGCTCACATTTTCCCACTCCCTCAGCCTCCTGACCAAACCTGGTGCTTTCTTTGTGGCCCCTCGTGGTGTAGTCTGCCCCTTCCTCCTGAGATCTGTGAGTATAGCAGACTATCTTTTCTATGGCAGTTGCCTTCTGATCTGTTGGCCTTGCCATACCTGGACAGTAACCAGACCTATATTTTAAAATGACTGGTAGTTGTCTTTAAGATTCTGGTAACCTGGGTGGGAAGACCAAGTTAGAAGCTCTCTTCACTGAATGCCACCTTAGCCAGCTCTCTTCATAGCCGGGTGTGTGACACACATTACTAAAGAACTTGAGAGTGTTTGTTCTACTTGTTCATAGAAGAAAAACACACCATCTGGCCAATGTTAACATTCTGGCCACTAGATAAAGAATTTCTGTGGTTGCGCGAAATGTAATTGTATCCAAACCCTTTCATAGCCACAGGAGAACGCAAAGGAGAAGGGAGCCGTGCTGCAGGCACCATCCCTTTCACTGCTAGTCCCTGAGGGAAAGCCCAAGAAGGCACCCCAGAGAAAGGAGGGTGCGATGCCCTCAACAAATCAGAGTCAAGAGTATTAATTGACACGAAATAAGAGTAAATACATTTAAATAAGAGGAATATGAATCATTCTCATGGGCCAGATGGAGGTTTGGAGGGTGGAGCAGGAATAAAATTACATCTCACAGTGTGATGTGTGTTTGATTTTAGATATTTTAGGAGACGAGGAGCCCCAAGCTGGATTGGAAGGCGCCTCTGGTCCTCCTCCTCTCTGCGTCACAGAACCAGAGCTCTCTCTTCCCTTCCAGACCCCACTGCCCCCCCCGCCCCAAGAGTCAAGGGGTCTGGAGAGCGGTCTACTCACTTCTCTGTGAGCCAGGAGAAAGCTGGAGAAGGAGCAAAGCCCTTCACCAAGAAATGGGACGGTTACAAGGCATCACAGTGGGGATGAGCTGTCACCAGTTCTACAGGGAACAGCAGTGTCTCGGGTCCTCATCCGCCATATTGGGGTAATAAGAGCACTCACCCCTGAGGTTGGGGTCAGTTGGGAGATGTCTATGAAGCACTGGGCGCACAGCCTGGTCCATATGGCTGTTCGTTAAGAATTAGCTATCGCTGTTATCCACATAACGCTTCACAGGTGAGGAAACTGAGGCTTTAGGAGAGACTGCATAACTCTCCAGGGCTTGTTGTTGGTAAATAGCTAGGCTGAGCTCAGACCCAGATCTGACTGACCCCAAAATCCACACACCCAGTACTATGCTTCTTCCTCTGGGGCAACAGAAGGCATTCCCTGTTGTGGGAGTGCGCGGAGGCCTGTGGGAGCCAACCTTCAAACTCCCCCTTCCTTTGATCCAATTCCACGCCTGCCAAGCAGCCTTCCGATGCCTTCCTGGGATCCTCGTGTCAGAGGGGGTGCTCTGGCTAGCAGAAATGTATAGTTAGCTGTTAGGAAGATTTCTGACCATTAATCCCAGGATCAATGAATTGACATTGTGGCTAATACAGAAGTTTTTGCTTTGCTTTCTGTTTTTTGTATCACTCAAACTGACAACTTTGGGAGCACTGGCAAAATTCAGTTCCTGGCCCTGGAAAGCTGGTGCACAGACCTTGGCTGTGGTGACCCTAACAAGGGATCGTCACACTATGCATTGCCTTCTGGCCAGGTCAGTCTTTCGCCTTCATGCCTCTCGGTCTGTCTCCGGCACTGCTGAATTTTTCTGACAGGGCCCCAGTTTATTTTGCCATCTGTGTCATCCTATGACCTTAATGTGGATCAGCGTTTTTGTTTTTCTTGACACTGAAATAATTTTCCATCTCGACAGCTGTTCTTTTCAGTCCAATGAAAAGTTTTAAATGTGGTCATTATTCTTGATCTTTCATCACACAGAGAAAGTTAGAATTTCTCAATATTACTTGTAGGAAACCAAGGATTCACTTTGGAATGAGGGAAGTGAAAGTAAGAGGAGGCCTCTATGAAAATTCTCCAACCTTGGGGAGGAAATACTGGGATTGAGTTAAATGATGTGACTTATTTGCTTTCTTCCAAGTTTGTGAGAATATTGGGAATTATTGTCTAAAATTGATGGCATCATGGTGATTGCTTTTTTCTTGGGCACTTAAGTTCAGGCCCCAGATGGGATGTGTTGGTAAAAGGAATACAGCAGGCCTCACCCAGTGCGGAAGCTACTCTCTTGGATCATCCCAACATCCTGGACAAGCCTTGGCCTTCCCCTGAAGTCCAGAGGAGCATGAGTGTTTGCATAAAGCTGGGCTCGGTACCTTCTCTCAGAGGAAGTTTTCCCTTTTTTGTGGAGGGAGATGGCAATCTTTGCCAATCTGTTCCAGCCAATGGTAGGCACTACATACATGTATGTGGAAATAAACAAAATCCCGCTATGGGTAAACAAAGGAAAAAATGTTCGCCCAATCTATTATGAAGGATGATACTATGTACTTGTGCCCCACTCTAAGTGAATTTAAAACTCTAATCTTTTTGCAGATAAATGGGGAAGTTATTTTCACTTTATAACGTTAATTCTTCATAGGAAGATTCCTTTAAATACTAAACATTGGTTTATCTGAAGTAATGGAAAAAATATACATAAGGGCAACTTTTAATAAATCTTCACTGTGCCCTCTATCGATGTTCCAGCCACACGATGTGGTTTCTTGTTCCTAAACTACCATCCCAGTTCATGTCTCTGTGCGTTTGCACAGACTCATCACCCCACCTGGAAAGTCCTCCCGCACTCTCCACCTGTTGGAATTCTACTCGGATTTCCAGGTTCTTCTGAGTACTAACACTCACATGGCACTTCTATTAATCAGAATTGGTCTTTCCCCCTTGTCCTCCCGCAGCTCTGTTTGTGTTCATTGTGAACATGTTTTCCACTTCCTGATTATAAGCTCCCTGAGTGAAAGGAACATGTCGACTCTTTGTACTTCCCAGGGCGACATGCCTAATAGCCTGTCTTGCCTAGAATGTTCTCACATTTCCCCTTAGGTACCTCTTATAGCAGAGGAGTGTATGCCTTCAGACTGCTTTAGGATGGAATTTCTTTGAAGCTGTGTTTTATCTTAAAAATTCATGTGAATTTTACATTCAAATTCATCATATAGTATTAGTAATTTTCATATAAAAATGTTTAAATTGACTCCTGCATAAAACTTAGACTCTAGAAACTGCCCCACAGTTTATGCTTGCGCTAGTTAGACTTTCTAGCACGTGGCCCTTGGAATACACGTTTCTCAGTTGAAAAGAGTATAAGTAGAAGCTTTAAAATATTTATTGAATTGAATTAAACAGGTGTAACATAATGTAAAGTAAAGTATTTGTTCCAAAAGCCAAGTAATTGAGAAGATATAGTCAAGACAGATAGAGGTTTCTTGTCATTAAGAAGCCTAGAATAACGTTTCAGAGAATAATTTAAAATAGCATAGGCCCCCAAAATGCACTGTACTCACAATAGCTGATGTTGTCCCCCACCTCCTGTGGTTCTCACGTTCGACTTGTGAAGTGATACTGTCAACACGCTTGCAGCCAGTTGTCCTGAAAACCCACAAATGCGAGTCCCGCGAAAGGAAAATGGCCTCCCTATTTTCCTTTGGTGGGTATTTTAGCCTACAAGCTTCTGGACCCGTGTCTATTTTCATATTACGCTAGAGCAAAGCTGAAAAGACTTTATAAGTAACTGACACCTAGTATTAATATCTTATCTATCTGCTGAGGAAGTATAATTCACTTTTAAAAGACATGTCTGAAAGAGATTTCTAAAATGGCCTGGGAGAATACCAGATTAATAGAAAGCCTTAGGAAATCAGTAAGTTGCTGAATTTGAACGTATAAATAAATACAACATGCCTAAAGCTTACCCTCTGCTGAAATAGATACGAATGCTCAGGGACTTGAAGAAATCACTTCCTAAACAACATTCCTATGGCCCAAAAGTTGCTAAACGCCTCCAAAAGGAAATATCTCCATGATAACATGAGAATAATGTAATCCAGCGTAATACAGAATTCTCCAGATTCTGTGGGGAAATGTACTTATGGAAGAACCAGACACTCTTCCTTATAACCTCCAACTACAATCAAATCAATGATGGCAAAGTGCGTCTTTAACCAAACAAGGCAACCTGAGCATAGGTGTGACTGTTCTCTTTGCATTCTCCACATATCCTAGCAAGACCCCTATTAATGTCTGTTAAATGGAGGAGGGAAGTAGACCGCCACAAACAGCTACATGACGGAATTTTCTCTCTGTAGTAGTGTCTCTCCCTACGGCTCTTAAATTGCTCTTCTAATCTAGCCCGGTGTACTTGGGCCAGGTGTGAAAAAAAATGCTTTTATATTTTTCTCTCCTTGAATATTTGCTTGTGATTGTCCTTCCTTGCCTACTTACAGATCAACAGAGACGTGCTTTTCTCGCATCTGGCTTTGACGATGTAATGGAATGCAGGGCGTCCATTTCTCCTTTCTTCGTGCTTATCACGCCGCCCTGGTCCTTGCGCTGAAACAGCCATTCTGCCTTGTATGGCTTGGCTGTCTTTCCAGTGCTGCCCTTATTCTGAGTATTTTCTGTTGCACTTTGCTGGAATCGTATATATGCAGTAAAATCACCGAACCGAGGAAGATCTGCTTGCCTGGGGGTCCCACAAGGCAAGCAGCATCCAGAGGAGCAACTCATCATGGATGCGGTGATGTCTCAGTCACACTGTGACTGTGCGCCCCGGTTCAATCAACTCCGCCGCAGACGTAATTCACTGTGGATCCCTTTCGTTTCGCTTATCGTCAGAATGAATACACACAGGAACCCCTTTAGCCCCCACCGTTTGTCATCGGCTGCCACGTTAAACATTGATTTTATTTTCCCAGGTCAGAAATGATGAAATCAATATCTAACACGGCCAGTTGTATTTGCTCGTACCTTTTCATTCAGATTCCCTGACAAATTTTAAACATTTTACACTGCATTTAATTTAAGGATTAAGTCTGTAAGCTTGTAGATTTAAATGTCAGTAAAGGTTAAGAATTAATTGTACATGAAACTGACTACATTAAATTTTAAAGCGAGAGTAGTTATTATTAAACACACGTGGAGGTATTGCGTTATTTTATTGTTATGATCCATTCATTAGTTCATTTGCCCATTATTCATTTGGCATACATTAATGCAGCATTTGGTATTTTTCAGAGAACTTGAAAATAAAAGGTTATTGACATATAAAAGTGTTTTTAAACTGTAAAATTTCATTAAAATAATATATCTGAAATACTTTTTGCATTTCAATTTATTCAGTCATTCGCAAAATGTCAGGCACTGACTGTGTATGGCCCAAGCCCTGAGCTAAGAAGTGTGGGTTCACAGACCAAGAAGAACTGGCCTGCCCTCTCTGGGAGCTCAGAGGTTGGTGGGGGAGAAGCCAGCACAGCAAAGGAGAGGCTTGTGAAGAAGTCACGGAAGAGGTTATCTCCTCCTTGGGAACCTCCTAGGTCTCCTGCTCCGCGGGCACCACAGAGGGCAGAGGGGGCAGAAACCAGAGAGGAGAGGAACGTCAGCTCGAAAAGGGCTGGAGGGGTTTAGGGATGTTGAAAGATATAGTGCCTGGAACAGGGATGATAAGAAAAGTGACTAGAAAAATGTAGAGGGCCACGACGTGACAGGCTGTAGTGCCGAGACTTCATCTTTCAGCCATGGGAAACCACTGGCGATATTTACGTTAAACAGTTGCGTGTCAAGTCAAGGCTTTTCACCCCGTACCGTAGTTTATTGTGTTATTAATGCAATTTATCGTATGGTAAAGTTAACAATAGCAACGACAAGTCGGGGGTGGTACCATAGACCTGCCTTTGGTCCTGCACCTTACTATGCACGTTACTAGTCCTTTGAGAGCGTGCCGGCCACTGTTTTAGACTCAGAAGATGCAAGTCTAATTGCCGTTCATCAGCCTTGTAAACTTGCATAAGCCACTTGGTTTTTCTGAGATCAGGTCTCCGTATCTATCAAACACGGGCTAACGATACTACGCTCCCAAACTATCTCACAGGACTGAGTGAAAATGAGGTTAAATAATATACATGAATCTTTTCTTTTTTTGAGGAAGATTAGCCCTGCGCTAACATCTGCTGCCAATCCTCCTCTTTTGGATGAGGAGGACTGGCTCTGAGCTAACATCCGTGCCCATCCTCTTCCACTTTAGACATGGGATGCCTGCCACAGCATGGCTTGACAAGCAGTGCCTAGGTCCACACCCAGGATCTGAACTGGCGAACCCTGGGAAATCAAAGCAGAAGGTGAGAACTTAACTGCTGTGCCACCGGGCCGGCCCCTATACAAGAACCGTTTTTAAGACAGTGGAGCATGATACACATGAAAGGTATTATCATTAACATTATAATTATTTAAAAGCTGCGGTAAACCTGAATTACTTGGCAATTTGTCATCAGAAATAATCTTCTTTCCTGGATCACCAGATATATAATAGAGAATTTGTAAACATGTGGTAGAAATTTCCTTATTTAAACAAATTCTTTGAGAATTGGCAAAAATGTCTCCAGGTGAATTGACCGAAAATAAGTTGAAAATAAAGGGCTCACAGCCTCTGATGTGAATGGTGTCCCTAGAGTTGTGCAGTGCATCACCTGCACAACCGCACACAGTGCCTTTGCCAACCTAGGAGTTTGATAAGAGAGTAAGGAGGGGATAATGGGAAAGCAATGTTTAAAGAGAATTGAGCTGAGAATTTTCCAGAGTTGAAGGATGTGATTTACCAACCCAAAAGCAAATGCTCAGAGTACTGAGCATGATGAAGATAAATACATACTTCTAGCTCTACCGCTAATCGGCTGCGGGCACTGATCAAGACACTTCAGCCCCAGGTGCTCTGGTTTCCTTATCTCTAACAGGAAAACATTAAGAACACTTAGCTCACAGGGTAGTTGTGAAGTGTAAGCGAGCTCATATTTGTTCTTAGCACACTGCTACAGAACAGGCACTCAAACAATGTTAGTTACTATTACAAAGGAATGACAATTAGACTGACAGCATATGTGTCACGGGCAACAACAATGACAGAAGGCAATACACTAATATCCTTAAAGTGCTAAAGGGACAATAGCTATCAACCTAGAATTTTATATTACCTACGTAAATTATTATTCGAGACAGAGATAGAAAATAAAAATGTTTTCAGATCAAACTAAGAAAGTGTACAACCCTAAACCCTTACGAAAGAATTATTAAAGCATATACCATGCAAAAAGAAATGACCTCACAAGCCTAAATTACAAGAAAGAAAATTCATCATAAAAAGGAATTAAAATGTCTTAATTAGCTATTGAATATACAGCTTTTACTATTTTTGTATGTCAAAAAAATTTAATAATGGGGGGAGGAGCTTTTCGTGAATTTCTAAAGCATGCTAAGCTCTGCATCCTACACAGGAAGAAGATTAAAATACTGGAAAACTTCAAGTCTTGTTAGAAAAATATATAGTTAAATATTCACATTTTAAAGTGAAAGGTAATTTGTCGGCCATAAAATACAAGATATAGCTTCCAAATTGGCAGGGAAAAAATTAAAGAATATAAGAATAATGGTTAACAAGAAGTATGAAATAAGATGGTAGAAGCAAGACATCATTGTTTGCAATAGCCTAAATCAGGGAACAACATTACCAAGATGAGAATGGATAAATTAATGTTTGTATCATTGTTCAATGGTAAATGAGAGAGTAAGTCATGTGAGTGAACTGGAGCTTAGATATCAACAGGATAAATTGAAGGAAAAAGCAAGTTGCAAGGTATATACTGAGCGTGATAACGTTTATCTAAATTTCTTTTTTTTTTAGAGATTTTATTTTTTCCTTTTCACCCCAAAGCCCCCCGTTACATAGTTGTATATTCTTAGTTGTGGGCCCTTCTAGTTGTGGCATGTGGGATGCCGCCTCAGCGTGGTTTGATGAGCGGTGCCATGTCCGCGCCCAGGATTCGAACCAACGAAACACTGGGCCGCCTGCAGCGGAGTGCAGGAACTTAACCACTAGGCCACGGGGCCAGCCCAACATTTATCTAAATTTCTAAAGTATAAAAACATGGGAGGGAAGGAGAGAACTAAAATTGGCTAAAACCCAACAAATTTGTCTAGAGTTAATATTCTCATGTATTAGAAATTTTTTGTCACAATTTCTCCCACTTATCTGGTTCTTTTTATGAAAGCTTAGATGGTTTTGTAATATCTCATGTGCATATTTGACATTCTTGTTTTTCAGATTTATTTTTCCTTTTTAACTTCAAATTCTGTTTAGCCCAATATTTGAGCTCTGCTCTGCACATTGAGGATTTTTGTTTTTCCCTTCTCCCAGGGCTCCTGAGCAAGGGAAACAGATGGCTGATCTAACATATGACAGCTACGCTGCCTCTGATTCCCAGGAATGCGTCTCTTTCCAGGCATCTTAAATCTGCCCACAGCTCACAGCCTCACTACCAGCCCAGCGCTGACACGCCAACTCCATCACAGACTCAGAACTGTTCCAGCTTTGGCCTTAGCTTCATTGCACATCATACATTTTCAAATAATTTGGACAGTCAGTAACTGTCCAAAAATGTTGGATTAATCACTCAGTGATTGTTGCCTTTCTCAGCAGCAGGATCATGCTGGTCACCTCCCCCAGCCGTCTGCTCTCTAGTGTAACTGATAGTGCATCCCTGGCTCCCCATTCAGTTGCACATCTGCACAGTCTGTTTTCAACAGTCTCTTATAAACTCATAGGATGTCAGAACTTGGAAAAGAAAGATTTTAGAGACCTGTTGTCCAATGAGCCCATTTAACAAGTGAGGAAATTAAGTTCAAGAAGTGAAGTAAATTATTGAAGCTCACACAACCCGTAAATGGTAGCATCAGGACTTAAGTTCAACCCTCTTGATTTACACTTTTAACAGTGGGGAATTTAAAGTCCCTATAATCCATTTTGTACTTTTAAGAGGCTACAGCATGGGGGTGATGGGAAAGCAGGCTGTGCATGCATGGTCCGGCTCGTCTGCCTTCTCCTCTGGGGTGCTCCTCCACGTCAGGAGAAAACTGATGAAGTGGGAAAGTCAGGGAAATACTGAATGGTTAGTAGTTTTAAGTGATTAGATTTCCTGAAGGAATCCCAAACCCATACAAGATCCTTATTTTTAATAATCAAGCACTTTCTCATTGAAACTTATAACCATTTCCTACTATCCAAAGCAAATATAAAAAGAAAGTAAGGATTTCTTAGGTTAAAGGTGCAATTACTAAGTGTCAGTTTGAGACCACAATCTGAGTACAGCGTGGGAACAGACTTAATGGGACATTGTACACAGAAGGGCTAGGGTAAGAGGACATAAAAATGAGAGTTCCCGAAGGAGAGGGGAAAAGACTAAGCAAATTCTAGAGTAATTTAAGAAGTTTTAGAACTAACCTTAAAAATAAGCAGTGTGAACTCATAGTGTTGACCGAGATTGAGTCAACCCACTCCAGTCTGTCTCTCACTGATTATAACGAAAACTCTGGACAGAATATAAAAAGTAACTGCTTGAGGACTCTGAGAAGTAAACACAGCAGGCCGAACGGGGAAGGAAGTCACAAACTGCAGCCCAGCCAAAGCATGAAGAAGACTTTCCTGGATTTCTTTCCCTCCTTAATCTGCCAGTTTCAGTCTGATGCTGAGCCAGGTCTGGGAACTGCGCAGTGGACGTGGTCAGGAAAAGCTGAGAGAAAGCACTTCTTTCTAGCCAGAGCCTGTTTCCCCTCTCTTTTCCTCTGCCTTGAGCCAGCCCCAGCCGTGAGGCTGCTCTGCTGCAGCACCAGTGGCAGCATGGCACGAGCATCTGAAATCCCGGAGACAATTCCTCTCTCCAATGAGAGGGACCAGGAAAAGGAACTCCTGGGTTTCTCTCTCTCTCTCTCTCTTTCTCTCTTATCAGTTCACCTCCAGGGCAAACCTAGGTGTACAGAATTACATGACAGTACTGGGACTTAAACCCTGAGAGAAGGGGATCCCTTAGGTCTCTCTATGTACACGTCCCAGGCTGACTCTCAAGCTGTGCATGTGCAGAACAGAGCCAAAAAAGCTTAGCTTAGCAAAAGATTTGAGAACAAAACCATGATCCAACCTTACCGCCCAAGTCTCAGACTGACCCCTCAGTGGTTCATGCACACAGGCTTT